CAAGAAGTTGGGTGCTTCTTGTGGCACCTTTCTTACTATGGTTGGTTTGCTTTCCCTTAATGCAATCCAAACATATAGTAAGATCAGTAAAATTTAGATTCGGAAGAATCTCACTCTTTACTAATCTTTCTAACCTTTATTTGGATATATGACCCAAACGTCTATGCCATAAGTAAGCAGAACTTTCATCTAGTGAACTATGTTTAATTCCAATATTATGTTGAACAGTAAGAAGGGATTCAGAAAAACTAATATCGAGTTTCAACTTATATAAACCATCACTAAGAAAATCAGAACCATAAAAAATAGCATTCTTATATAAATTGAAAGATCCATTTCCAAACTTTAAATCAAATCTAGAAACATCAAGTCTTGAAAGAGAAATCAAATTCCTAGAAACTGAAGGTACATAAAGAGTCTGTAATAGATCAAGGTGACACCCAGTCTCCATGATCAAACGATAAGTCCCTATGCCTTCAATTGGATCCTTCATACGATTTCCCATGAACAAGAAATCCTTATTTGGATTTATAGTTTGGATCGTAAGGAATCCCTGTAATATAGTAGATACATGAGCAGTTGCACCAGAATCAAGCCACCAAGTATTATTAGGAACTTCTACTAAATTTGATTTGAAACATACAAAATCACTAATTGTACCTTTCTTTTCAAACCAAACTTTACGTTTCAGACATTCTTTCTGATGGTGTCCTTCCTTGTTACAGAAACGACATGTATCTGCCTTATGTTCCTTGTTAGCATCCTGTTGAGCTTTAGCTGGTGTTTTCTTTTTCTTGAACTTGTTGGCTGTCATACCTTAAACCCAGACCCGGTTGTGATGGCGTCTCTCGTGAAGACAAGGCCAACCGACACATTCCCATTCCAATCTTAAGCAATAAAATAATAATTATTAAGTCGTAAACATGATAAAATCTCAAAAATAAGCAGTTAACAATATAATTTACGGAAAAACAAACCCAATACAGCCCGATACTGGTGTGTCACTAGTCATGAGCATCTACTAAGGTCCGAATACAACTAGAGTAAAAAATGTACTAAATACAGTCTAATGAAATTGAGAGGGAGAAAAGCAGTGCTGCGAACGTCAGGCAGCTACATTGCTAAACTCTGATGACTCTGCCTCTGAGAAACCAATACCTGCTACCGGGTTCAGAAATACCTGAATCTGCACACAAGGTGCAGGGAGTAAAGTGAGTACTTCCAACTCAGTGAGTAATAAAAATAAATAAAGACTGAGTGATAGGAAATCACGAATAGTACATCAACATGCTCTATAGAAGTAGTACAAAACCAATAAGAAAGCAATAAAGTTGTGAAATCTCTTAAGCACCTTAGCTCAGTTTAAACTTCTTTAAAAGTGGCTTTTCAACATTTAAGCAATTGAATGTAAGCAATTATAACAGATAAGCATATAAGATCCGCCCCTCGAGCACAATTACACAATTAAACAGGTACATGACAGGTAAATAAGAAATATAAGTACATAAAGGTTCGCCCCTCGGGCACAATGTCAACAAATCCACCCCTCGGGCAATATCTCAGAATAATACCAGCCTCTCGGGCTATATCTCACATCACATGGGTACCCGCGCTCACTGGGGGTGTGCAGACTCCTGGAGAGGCCCCTTACGGTCTAAGCACAATATCAAGCCATATCGTGGCATCATAAACAGGCTCTCGGCCTCATATCAATATCAAGCCACCTCGTGGTGCACAATCTTAGGCCCTCGGCCTCATTATCATAATCAGTATATCATTGTTGCGGCGTGTAGCCCGACCCAAAAATATCCTCACAATACAGGTCCTCGTCCTTACTCAGTTAGAATCTCATAAGCCACTCAGGCATCAGTAAAATATGAAGCTCAGCTCAAATATCTTTGAAAATATCAACTAATGTGTTTAAAACAAAATAACATAGCTGAGTTTTTACAATAGTGAAAATATAGCATGATTGAGCACAAGTATGAAATCAAACAGTGAGGAAAATATCATTAACAATCTCCTAAGGGTTCAAACAGTTGGCACGAAGCCCAAATATGACATTTAGCCTAAAGTATAATAATATCAAACAATTAGCTACCCATTATACAAAAAAATAGTCATTCGGGATGGACTAAGTCACAATCCCCAATGGTTCATGACCCCACGCTCGTTATCTAGCGTGTGTTTCACCTCAATATAGAATGACGATGTGCAATCTGGGGTTTCATACCCTCAGAACAGCATTTAAAATCATTACTCACCTCGAACTAGCCCAAAATGCTACTCTGCAACACGCTTGCCTCTCGACCCAACTTCCGAGTGCTCCAAATCTACCAAGTTCAGATTTTTATAATCAAATTATGCTAAACGAATGAATTTCAACTGAAAAATATCGATTTTAAGCACAAAATCCGAAATCAGTCAAAACCCGACCCCCGGGCCCACATCCCGAAACTGGACAAACTTTATACCAAAATATTCTTCATCATCTCACGAGTCCATACATATAAAGAACTCAAAAATAAGAGTTCGTTTGCCCCCTCAAATCATCCCTAGAAGGTCTCATAATCTCAAGCCGTAACTCCACTTTTTTCTACTGAGTTTCATGTCTAAATCCATGTAAGATCACATATTTAACTCAAAAATAGGAAGACATCACTTACCTAGTGTTGCTTGGTGAAAATCCCTCCTTGCGCTCTCCAAAATCGTCCAAGCCAAATGAAAGAAATATGCTAAAACTCGTGTTTAAAACAATCTGCCCAGGCTTCATCGAGTTGTACCTTGCACTGTGCAGGTTGTACATCCTCTTACCATTTTCCTCTGTTGTACACCTTCTGTTAAAACACCCATAACTCCTTGTGCAAAATATCCAAATGACAAACGGTTTAAAGATTGAAAAACTAGACTCGAAGATCCTTCATTTGATAGGTTGTACATCATATAACTCTTTATATATTCCGAGATATGAGCTTCTAAAGTCGGCTCCATGCATCAGAAAATTCTGTCGAAACTGCTCCACTAGCCGTCTTCAATCCATCATAACTTTCTGATAAAATATCCAAATCATAAATGGTTTAAATTTTTGGAAACTAGAATGCAAGGGTTACAACTTTCATGTTTTGCAATTTTTCGATTCCTTATAGATTGCAAGATATGAGCTTGCAAACTCGACTCCTCGCATCAGAAATTTTCTGGTGAACAGTTGAAGCTCAAAAATCTGCAACTTTTCCAAAGCATGAAATAGTCCGTTTAACCACCCGAAACTCACCCGAGGCCACTAGGACCTCAACCAAACATGCCAACATATCTCATAACATCATTCAAACTTGTTACAACCTTCAGAATGCTCAAACAACATCACAACACCAAATTCGCATCGGATTCAAGCCTAAGAATTTCAAAATCTTCTAAATTATGCTTTTGATAAAAAAACCCAACCAAACCACGTCCAAATGACATGAAATTTTGCACACACATCCCAAATGACACAACGGAACTACTGCAACTCTCGAAATTCCATTCCGATCCCTATATCAAAATCTCACCTATCAACCGGAAAATGCCACAAACTCAATTTCGCCAATTCAGGCCTAAATCTACTCCGGACCTCCAAAACACATTCCGATCACGCTCCTAAGTCCCAAATCACCTAACGGAGCTAACCAATTCATAAAAATTCCAATCCGAAATCATATACTAACAAGTCAAATCTTGGCCAAACCTTTCAAATTTCAAGCTTCAAACTGAGAAATGTTCTTCCAAATTCATTCTGATCACCCTGAAAATCAAAACCAAAGATTTACATAAGTCATAATACACTACACGGGGAAAGTCATGCCCGATAACTGGCGAGCAAAGTGCAAAAGCTCAAAACGACCGGTCGGGTCGTTACATTGGCCTTCAGTTTAAGTCCTTTACCAGCTCCTTGACCTATGAGGTTAATTGAATGACTCCCTTATTCTTAAGTCTTGACTCCTCCTGAGTAAGCATACTGGACAATTCACTAACATTCCACTTATCCTTAATAGTGTTATAGTTAATTTGAAAAGGTCCATACTCAGGAGGTAACGAGTTTAGAATAAACTGAACCAAGAAAGAGTCATCCACTTTCATCCCCAAGGTCTGAAGTCTTGCTGCAATGTTAGTCATCTCGATGATATGGTTTTGCATATTACGCAACCCATCAAACTTCATGGTCGTGAGTTCAACCATTAGTGTACCAGCGAGAGACTTATCTGCAGAACGAAAACATTCTTCCACAAACTTCAGGTATTACATGGCACTTTCTGTTTGTGGAATAGTACTCTTAATATTGTTGGCAATATTCATTCGCATAAATATAAGGCTTAGCCTGTTAGAGCGTTACCATGCTTTATGGAAAGACTCTCATCCGCACTGCTCGAATCAGTAATGGTAGCGGGCTTATCATTCACCAGAGCCAAGTCAAGATCCATCACACCTAAGTGGAACTGGACTTGTTCACGCCATTCAGAGAAGTTCAATCCATTGAACACAGTAACAAAATAAGCAAGCGAATGAAAAGGAATAGCTACAAAATAGATAATACATGCTCACAAATCAATATGGATTCAACAAAACAGTTAAAGCATATCGCAATTCTCCTTTGGGTAAATACTACGACACACTATCATAATTTAGATGTCATTTAGTCTTTAATAGGTAATTAAATATTTTTAACCAAATATATATGTCATCTTTGGATAGACAATATATATTTAACTAAAAATATTAATTTACCTCATCATATAACTATTCATAGAATAATTGATTTACCTTTGGGTAAATCCTTAAGTTCTAGCAATAGTGAAATTTAATTTATCCATTTATTTTCAATTATAGGTGTCACGACCCCGGTTAGCGCTTCGTGAACCATCGTGACGGCACCTAGTCTCTACGACTAGGTAAGCCTAATAATGCGGAATGTAAACAAAAATTGCGGAAGAAATAATTAAAAACCGAAATAGTAAAATGAAACAGTGTTTAAGGTGCCGTTCGGCACATACAATAAAAGCTCTCGAAGCTAACAACAATCCCAAAACCACGAATCTCACGAAGCACAAGCTAAGAGATACATAAGAAACTCTAACTCCGAAAATGTCTAAACAAGGGGAAAATACTGAAGGGCTATACTTATTACAGAAAGATAGAAAGGGACTCCTACGTCTGCGGACACGGCAGATATACCTCAAAGTCTCTACAGAAATGTCTCCTCCCAAGGATGATAGAACTGAGTGGAAGTACCTAGATCTGCACAACAAAAATGTGCAGAAGAGTAGCATGAGCACACCACAGCGGTTCCCAATAAGTATCAAGACTAACCTCGGTGGAGTAGTGACGAGGAACAGTCAAGACACCTACCAGTCCAATAAATTATACAAATATAGGAATAACAGGACATGATGCATATATAAAGACTACACGAAATGGCTAACAATACTACAATCTCAATAAGGGAAGAAAACTGCAAGCAAATGAAATACCAAAATAATGACACAGAAAAGCGAGCAAAAATACAACCCAAATCCTAGAGTCACAATACAGTAAATGTAAGCAATAACTCAGATCCTACGACAGTGTTCACATCAGGTCTTATCCAACAATTTCCACGAAATACCAAATCTCGGACAATTACAACTCACGAGTCCCAGTACCTGAAATCTAACACTTGGCATCATGTTCCCCCATCAGCCTCATGGTCATACTGACAACTCACTTGCTAACCGGGGCCACTCTCATATATATAATAAGTAAACGAGGGTGTATATCTATACTCAACAAAATTAGGAGGACTTCACATCCAATAAGAGTGTTCAACTACGTGTATGCTTGTGCAAGTGCTTTAACAAAATTCCTACCAGCTAATAGACGTAAGGAGAAGAGCAGACAGCACATACGATGTTTCCTCACTGTCACACCTCCTTTTTTTACCTACACCCCCGAGAAAGGAGTATAAGGGAGTTTTTACAATTAAAGGACAATCAAAACGGGATTTATTGTTAAAAGATTCAGAGTCGCCACTTGGGAGATTTATGGTGTCCCAAGTCACCGGTTGAATCCCGAATCGAGGAAAAGCTTGACTCTGTTTAACAGTCCGCGAACCAAAAATCCGGGTAAGGAATTCTGTTAACCCGGGAGAAGGTGTTAGGCACTCTCGGGTTCCGTGGTTCTAGCACAGTCGCTCAACCGTTATATTCAGTTTAATTATCTGATTTTAAACACATTTTAGCCTATGGTTCAATTTCAACTTTAATCGCTTTTATTCATTTTTTAAAAGATTGCAACATTATTAAAACACGTCTCGAACCACGTCACATAAATGCACCCGCAGTCTTCGACATATTTTAACATTGTCGACATATTTTAACATTGTTGACATATTTTAGCAATTACAAATCACAACTACATCACGGGAATCGTACCCGTAGCCATGATAATCATTACTAACACGATAATAAAATCAAAACTCGCCTAAAGGTTTACCTACTCGGGTGTAGCCCGCCTAATCATGCTCATAGCGATTAAAGTGATACAACAAAGTAGAATTAAATAAAAGACATTGAACCGAGTTTTACCTTTAGTTAATATCCAACAGCCCATGACTCCTTATTATTATGTTTCAAGATCGGACCTCCCATGGCCAAACAACCATTTAAGATACATAATGACCAACCAAGATCGATCATTCAACATGTAAAAGCATTTAAAAGAAGCTATTAACTACACTAAAAATGGTACGACAAAATGAGTGGACTTAAACATGAGAACAATCTTTGAACTTTGATTAACACCATCTATATATATCATCTCTCAATTCTAGTCAACTTTGCATTATATGGTGGCTAATCCTATAGCTCTATGAAGTCACATGAACTTGTTGTTCAATTCTTAATAATTGCACTCTTATTTTTGGATCCCAAGTAATTATAAAAGAGAACGAAAACAAAAATAACATAAACTTTCTTAAACTCGAATTCTTACCATTATTAATCAAGTTTCAGATCTAACTTTAAACCAACCACGCCTAACTTCCAAATCCTCTACTAACATTACTTTAAGCCAATGATTTGAAGTCAGGACCAGATTCAGTGTTATAACCAAACGAGCACTAACAAACCAGATTGACGAACAAATAAAAGAAATCACAAATGAAAACTGAGTTGTGGTGCAGTGACGAACCCTAAGAAGACGACCACGAAATCCAATTTTTCATGGAACCAATCACATAAGAAATACACATGAAACAGAGGGAGAAGAAAGATAAACCTCTATTAATCTGAAATTTAAATGACTTACAATTTGAAAATGCTAATCGACGGAATGAACAGGACTGGCAACAAAATCTAAGCCGGAAAATCTCGTCGGAAATCTCATAAGCTCTGACCGGACTGACTCGCTACCCCGTCACTCAGGTCTGAGCGTCCGTTCCTCCATCAATCTCTCACTCTGTTCATTTTTACCTCTATTTTTCTTTAACGATAAACAAAAAACGATAAGGGAACGCAAAAACTTTTCATCACTAATGCGGCTCTCGTTTTGGACTGACGATAGTAACCAGTGGTCGCTGGTTGTTTGGCGAAGGGATGGGGTCGTTTGAATCTGAGAGGAAGGAGTTAGGGTCGCTGCTCTTGGTGTTAGGCTTTTCGTATGCTAAGGTTGAAGAAGAAAACCTTCAGGAGGTCGTTTGATTTTTTTTCAAGAAGAGGCCATGGAAGCGAGGATCTCTATGTGTATAGATTTCCTAAGGTCTGTTATTGTTGAAAATGGAGAAAACCGACAGGAGGGGTTCTCATAATTACTGCGGTGCTCAGCTTTTGCAGCGTATATATGTTCTCCTATTTTTTTTTAGATTTTTAAGCATTACTTTATAGGTAGAGTCTAGGTTTAGGTGTATTTTTGTGTATTTTACCCATTAGTCCCTAGGTCTTTTATGTATTAGGTCCTTAGGGTCTTTTTATTTATTTTTTGTTCCAAATAAGAGTCTAGAAGGGTCCCTAGGATTAGCTTAACGGATATTGGATATTGAGCTTAAGGAATGGGCTAGGAACTTGGGTCTTTATGACTAGCTATGTTTAAAATTAGCTTAATTAACTAAAAGTATTATCAAAAATATTAATCAGCTCTACTTAAGTAAAAATAATTATTAAAATAAGACTGACCATTAAAACAAAACTATTTTTGGTATTTTTTCAAGATTAAAAATGACTACAAAACATTTAATGAACCTATTTTTTTGTAATTTTTGTTTTCTTGTAATAAAATAAAAGTAAAAGAGTAAAAATGAGTTGAAGTAGCTATATTAGGCCTAAATTAAATATTTACGTGCTAAATATGAAAAAATCTCGGGGAGGGTCAAAAATCACATGTCTACAGCTGCCCCTTTTTGACTGGAAACGCGAAGAGTTTTCAAACAAAAACGAATAGACAGGTTTTTGACTCGACCCTTATTTGGAGAGACTAAAACTAATAGAAAAGAGTAATGTGACCGAGCCCTGGTATCTGAGCTGCCTACATATCCTTGGCTATAAAGGAATCAGGCCACGTGTAGTTTAGAGGTGAGTGAGACGACGGAGTATGCCGAGGTGGGGAGCTTTAGAGGTGCCGTTCCGCCGAGGTTCCAGTTCGCAGTCCTGTTATTACATCAAAATAAAAAAAATGAAAAAGACTAACTAAGCCTATCAACTATGAGTTACAAGATTCCTATCTATAAGTCTTCTGAAGCCTGATCTTGAGTCTTGAATGATTCTTCATGCAGACTTTGGATTTAAACCTTGACACTTGTTAGTTGCAGGTGCTAGCTCGTTCTTCTTCAGCTTTTCAGATCAAAACCGGCATGCAGTGCTTGTGACCTCGGCCATGTCTTGAGCAACCTACATCTTTCATCAACTTCTGCATCTGAATTAACTTCTTGCCTTTCTCTTTTTTCTTTCTTTATTGTGACTAACTTCTGTTGATCACCTCAGACTGTTGACTCGCATTCTTGCCACGAGCTTCTTTCGTTGCTGACTTGAATTGCATTCTAAAGTGAATTCTCTTATTCTCCAGGTAGGCTCCTGATTACTGAACACTTGCACTGCTTTTCCCTGAAACTGCTTTCCCTTGAAACTTGAACTGTCCTCCCTTGTTCTCCAGGTGGGTGCCTGATTGCTGAAACTTGAATGTATTCCCTTGTTTTCCAGGTGGGCTCCTGATTGCTGAAGCTTGAATGTATATTCCCTCGTTCTCCAGGTGGGAGCCTGATTACTGAACTTTTAAATGTATTCCCTTGTTCTCCAGGTGGGCGCCTGATTACTGAACTTGAAAATGTATTCCCTTGTTCTCCAGGTGGGCGCCTGATTACCGAAACTTGAAAATGTATTCTCTTGTTCTTCAGGGAGACGCCTGATTACCGAAACTTGAAATGTATTCCCTTGTTCTCCAGGTGGGCGCCTGATTGTTGAACTTGAAATGTATTCCTTTGTTCTCCAGGTGGGTGCCTGATTGCTGAACTTGAAAAATGTATTCCCTTGTTCTGCAAGTGGGCGCCTGATTTCCACAAAATAAACAAAAACAAAGAAAACTTCTGCCCCAGTTTGGCATGTTACCAAATATCAATAAGAACATGAAAACTGAAACTTGAAAATGTATTCCCATGTTCTCCAGGTGGGCGCCTGATTGCTAAACTTGAAATGTATTTCCTTGTTCTCCAGGTGGGCACCTGATTGCTGAATTGGAAATGTATTCCCTTATTCTCCAGGTAGGCGCCTGATTTCAACAAAAATAGACAAAAACAAAGAAATTGTTTTGCCCCTGTTTGGGTATCTGGGCACACATGTATGTGTAAAACGAATCACATTACCAAATATCAATAAGAACTTGAAAGGTAAAACTTGAATTGTATTCCCTTGTTATCCAGGTGGTCTCCTGATTGCTGACTTGAAATGTATTCCCTGCTCTCCAGGCGGGCTCCTGACTTCAACAAAATAGAAAAACACAAAAAACAATTTCTGCCCCAATTTGGGTATCTAGGCACATATGTAAGTGTAAAACAAACCACATTACCAAATATCAATAAGAACTTGAAAGCTAAAACTTTGAGTTATACTCCCTTGTTCTCCAGGTGGGCTCCTGATTGCTGACTTGAAATGTATTCCTTTGTTCTCCAGGCGGGCACCTGACTGCTGACTTGAAATGTATTCCCTGCTCTCCAGGCGGGCTCCTGACTGCTGACTTGAAATGTATTCCCTGCTCTCCAGGCGGGCTCCTGACTACTGAGTTGAAATGTATTCCCTGCTCTCCAAGCGGGCTCCTGACTTCAACAAAATAGACAAAAACAAAAAACAATTCTGCCCTTGTTTGGGTATCTGAGCACACATGTAAGTGTAAAACTAAATCATATTACCAAATATTACTAAGAATTTGAAAGCTAGGTCCCATTATCCCGGTGGGTCCTGACAACTCTTAATTAAACGACAATTTTAAATCTAAGTTATATCTTCTAAAGGTGTGACTTTTGCTAAATCTTGTTATCTAAGAGGGTCTTTAAACTACTCCCCATTATCCAGGAGGGTCCTGAAAATCAAAAGTCAAATTTTATCTTAAGAGTGACAACTTTTATAGTTGAATTATACTACCCTACAGTAGAATTTACGCTAAAGGTTTTTATCTAATCGAAATCTTAAAGCTAAGTCCCATTATTCATAAGGGTCCTGAAAATCAAAAATCAAGTATTATCTTAAAAGTAACAATTTTACGGCTAAATTATATTACCCTACACCAGAACTTACGCTAAATGTTGTTATCTAATCGAAATCTTAAAGCTAAGTCCCATTATCCAGGAGGGTCCTGAAAATCAAAAATCAAGTATTATCTTAAAAGTGATAATTTTACGGCTAAATTATATTACCCTACACCAGAACTTACGCTAAATGTTGTTATCTAATCGAAATCTTAAAGCTAAGTCCCATTATCCAGGAGGGTCCTGAAAATCAAAAATCAAGTATTATCTTAAAAGTGATAATTTTACGGCTAAATTATATTACCCTACACCAGAACTTACGCTAAATATTGTTATCTAATCGAAATCTTAAAGCTAAGTCCCATTATTCAGTAGGGTCCTAAAAATCAAAAATCAAGTATTATATTAAAAGTGACAATTTTACGGCTAAATTATATTACCCTACACCAGAACTTACGCTAAATGTTGTTATCTAATCAAAATCTTAAAGCTAAGTCCCATTATTCAGGAGGGTCCTGAAAATCAAAAATCAAGTATTATCTTAAAAGTGACAATTTTACGGCTAAATTATATTACCCTACACAAGAACTTACGCTAAATGTTGTTATCTAATCGAAATCTTAAAGCTAAGTCCCATTATTCAGAAGGGTCCTGACAACTCTTAATTGAATCCTATCTTTATGCAAACTTTGAAACAAACTTATATTCCTTGGGGTACATTTATGCTAGATTTTGCTACTCGTGATTGTTTTGAATTTTAAATTAGGTTCCATTTTCCAGGAGGGGCCTGAGAATTTCAAATTAAATCCCATTATCCAGGCGAGTCCTGAAAATCAAATATCAAACCTGTCTGGTGCTTGCCTTTCCCCTACGGAGGATTTCTCCGGAACAACCGAAATTTTCTGCCCCTGTTTCAAATCAAAGAAAAATCTTGTCAGTTTAAAATATGGTGGTTGGTTTGTGGCCTTGACTTTGAGGGAGGTTGCTCCTTCACTTCTCATGATAACTGATTTCCACCCGAAGACCTTGCTTGTTCGTTGACTAATCACTTTCTCTGTCATCCTTATCACAGAAAATACCTCTTCTCCGTTCAAACCCAATAGCCTCTATCTGTTACATTACTCATGAACTGACATTTGCCAACCTTTGTGTCTCACATGAATACCATAACACGTCGATTACCGTCCACTCAATGTGCATGCTGTTCTTTCCTGACTTAACCCACTGGCATTGGCCTTGAGGTCTATTGCTCCTTCACTTGCCATGATAAATTTGATTTCCACTTGGAAGACCTTGATTGTTATTGGTTAACCACTTTCTCTGTCAATCTTATCACAGAAAATACCCTTAATCTATTCACTTAACACCCTCCATCTGTTGCATTGTCCATGAATTGATATGTACCAAACCTTTGTGTTTCACCGAAAATACCTTTGATTCGTTCACCTAACATCCTCCATCTTGTTTCGTTGTTCATGAATTGGTCTGTACCAAGCCTTTGTATTTTACAAGGATCCCAAAGCATGTTGATTATTGCCAGCTCAATGCGCTTGTTGCTCTTTTCTGACTTATGATATTTTGATGTGTTAGCCAAACCCTGTTTTGTGCAATTGGAAAGCTGGTGGCAAATTTTGAAGTCATTTCTCACTTATTTTGACCAAACAGACTCAGAAAGAGGAAGTAAACAAGACAAAAGGAACAGAGTAAAGGACAAAGGAAAGGGATGATTCCTAACCAGAAAATTACAAAGTAGAAACCTATCAGATGTGGATACCAACTCTAATGACCATGACATGCACCTGTGGCCTATTCTGTTGAGCAAGTCTGATGTTCGACTCTTGTTGTACCTTTAAACCGTGAAACTGGGCTTCAATGCTCCGATTATCCAATCTGATTCACAACCCTTATTCGACTTGTAATGCCCGGAGAGTTTTCACCATCAAGCCTCTCTCATTTGTTCTTTCTCTTAACTCACCGTCGCCTCAAGGTGCCCGCGAAGATTTTCACCAATAAGACTCTCTCATTTTTTATTTCTCTCAGCATTCCATCGCCTTACGGTGCCCGTGAGGGTTTTAACCAATAAGACTCTCATTTTCAT